AATAATAATAATAATAATAATAATAATAATAATAATAATAATAATAAAAAAAGCACCCAAAAGATTGAATGGGTGCCCGATATGTATCTCCAACCCATATGTTCCCATCAAAGAAAAAAATGTCAGCAAATCTAAAGTTAATTTGTTGGCATAAATCTGAACAATTTTGCATCTATCAATAGCCACTATAATCGCATAGGATGAAAATAACCTGTTGAGTTCGTAGCTTAAATCATTGTATATATATATATATATTTTAACTATGTAGGCTTTTTAGATATTTGTTTTTTCCATTTACCTAATGCTGCCTTTAAAGTATTTCTTTTGTTTGATGTGTGCATTGTTTTAGGTGAAAGGCCATTTAAGTGTAGTGAATGTGGAAAGGCTTTTAATCAGAAAGGTGCATTGCAAACCCATATGATCAAACACACTGGTGAAAAACCGCATCCTTGTGCCTTTTGCCCTGCAGCCTTTTCTCAGAAAGGCAACCTTCAATCACACATTCAAAGAGTACACTCAGAGGTAAATCACACCATTGATTTCAATGATGTGGAAATTTATTACTTTTTTTGTTTTAATTTTATTATTAACTTTCTGGGTTTCCAGGATTTTTCAAGCAACCACAATATGGTTTGCTACTAATTTGACTTTTACACTGCATTTTTTTATTTTCTGTACATAAAAGGATGTTTCTGGGAAAACAAGCAAATATACTATAATTAAGGTGAAAATAGGAAGAAACGTTCTTTGTTACAATAAAACTTTCCTTGTTTGGGGTTGATGGCTATCCATTAAATCCCAAAGCCAAATATTCTTGTTTGTACAATCTTTGTATCATTACATAATTGAATTTTGTATATTTTTATAAGGTTTTATGTCAATTTATATAGCTTGCATTATGTAATATGTACCATATTTGTCAGACTATAAGACGTACTGGACCATAAGACACACCTAGGTTTAGAGAAGGAAAACAAGGAAAAAAATAGTTTTTGGCTTCAACATGTCCCATTTTTCCCCTCCCTGGCCCCCAGAAGCACTCTGCAGGCCAAAACCAGCTCATTTTTGGCCTGCAGACTGCTTCTGGGGACCAGGGAGGAGAAAAACGGGATGCACAGAGGATTTGGGAGGCCAAAAACGGGCCAGATTTTGGCCTGCAGAGTGCCTCTGGGGGCCAGGGAGAGCAAAAATGGGACACACGGAGGGTTTGGGAGGCCAAAAAGAAGTCCCTATTCACTCTGTAAGATGCACAGGCATTTCCACCCACCTTTTTGGGTGAAAAAAATGTGTCTTATAGTCCAAAAAATACGGTACTTGGACATTATTTTGAAAATGAAATCTGAACACAAGTTTAATGTGTCACATCCAAATTCTATTTAATGAGTGTCTGTCAAGTCAAGGTATTGCTTAATAAATAGTCTTTGTTTAGCGACTGCCTTATTCTGTGACCATTAGCAGTTATGATAAAAAAGTAACTTTGCAACCAGTCCTCATATCGATGACCTCAGATCTGTGAGCTGAAGTAAGATCATAAGCACAATTACGGTTTCATTTAGCAACTGCTTTGCTTAAATGACCAAGCTGCAGGTCCTAATCGTAGTCTCTAAATGAGGGTTATTGTACACTATTTTTAGTCTTGAAATTTCCCTGTATATTGCTTGTCTTCTGTTGCAATGTATCTTCTTTGGTTGCTCCTACATATGGTCAAGTAAATGAAGAGTTTGCTTGATGGAAAGCCTACCACAATCCTTTTCTATTTATGCTATTATGTAGTATGTATCCAAAAGAGTTTACAATATAATGCCTGGGAAATTTTTGGACTCTGAATTTTTCCATTCTCACGATAAGTCTTTTGTTGCTGGATGGTGACTGCCATCTCAGATGGGAATGGGACAACTTGCTGCAGCCAACTCGCTGCAGCAAACTCAATGCAGCTGACTCGCCATGGCCAACTCACCATGAGACAACTCATTGTGGGACAATTTAACAATTCTACTTAATTATTTAAAATAAATAAAAATTATTTTAATTTTTGCCATCTAACTGTTCATTCCATCACTCCTTTTGCATGATTTCTTTAATGTTTCTGTTTCACCATTTCTTCTATATTAGTATAACTCTTATCCAGCAGTGAGTTGTTCTGTGGCAAGATGGCCCTGGCGAGTCCTGCAGTGAATTGGCTGTGGCCAGCTGTCCGTGGTGAATATTCATAGACGCTCTCCGATAAATGTGAAGTAGATACTGCAATACTGAAGCTAGCCTTTTCCATGCAGTATGCTTTTTCAAACCCCTCTGTTTTTGATCACAGCATGCTTGACAATCCTGGCAACTTATTACATAGGATTAATCTTATTTAAATTATTTTAGAGTAAAACCAGTTACAATAAAATAGTGTACTTGAAGTACCCATGTAATAACATTTGTACATAAGAATATATGTACTAACATATATTATTTCTTTTGTTTCTAAAGGTAAAGAATGGCCCTATGTATAACTGTACAGATTGTAGTTGTATTTTCAAAAGCTTAGGCAGCTTAAATACTCATATCAGCAAGATGCATATGAGCGCCACACAAAACACAACAAATTCTGCTACAGAAGCAGCTCATATTACAACGGTAACTTTTATATTCTAATATCTTTGTCCACTTGCATTACATTGTATGGTATAATTTTGCTTAGATGGTACAATATACTATATGGGTGTTAAACTCAAGGCGCTGGGGACTGGATCCGGCCCACGGGGTGCTTAGAAGTGGTTCATAGGGCTGTCCTGGGAACCGCGAAGGTCTGGCCTGCGATGCCTCTGCCACCGAAAACAAAGCTCAGGAGGACTGTGCAGCCTTCGCGAGCTCAATTTTCAGCCAGGATGGCCTCCTCCAGCCCTCTGTCAGCAAAAGTGGAGGTCAGAGGGGCTCCATTTTTGCTAGCAGAGAGCTGCAGGAAGCCGTCACAGCCAAAAATGCAGCTTGTGAAGGCCGCGTGCGCCCCCTCAAGCTCAGTTTTTGCAGGCAGAGGATTGCAGGAAGTCGCCCCAGCCAAAAACGCAGTTTGAGTTCAAATACAACCCTGATGTGGCCCTCAATGAAATTGAGTTTGACACCCATGCACTATATACTATTATGCCATTTATAAATACAGAAATTCTATTATTACTTTAAACAAAACCCTCTTCACTGATGGTTGAAGGGATATATGCAAAGTGACTCTTCAAAGTGCTGAGGGGAGGGGGAGTCAGAAAATATTTCTGTGAACTTTTGTAGAATTTTAATACAGTTTCAAAATGTTTGTCTTCTAAATCTAATGAAAAGTCAAAATGAGCCTGCTAGAAAATAGTTGTTCTTCATGTCCATAATAGACTATTTTCACAATAGGGAAATTGTTTGCTTTTCTTGGTATTACTCATAAATGTTTTTACAAAGCAGAGTTTCTAGAGCATTTTCTGTTACTTAAAACATTTTCACGACTGAGTAAATATTTGCAGAATGTGTAAAATGTGCTAACTTTTACTTCAAGGGATGTTTTTGACCTCAACTGAAAGTCTCACTCCACTTGTCTAGCAGTCTGATAATTTTCTCATGTGCCGCTAGCGATTTTGATCAGAACATAGAAAAAAAGCAAACAGAAATTTTCTTGGTATTCTTTGACCAGAAGTACAAACACATGAAAAAATCATTTGAGTGTTCAAAAAATAAAAAATGGCACTTATTAGTCATGTCTTAAAGAAAAGCATGTTTTTTCATCCTTTAATAAATAAATATTCAATAATTTCAGTCAATAAATTCTCTAAAATTATATATTTTATATCAGGACTTTAACAGGTTTATCCTAACATAGTCCTAAATGAAACTAATTCTCCAATTTATTATTCTACCATGTTTTGTTTTGAAAAGTAGATTTATATATATATATATATATATGTTTCTTAAAATAGGATTCGGTGGCTCAGCCATTGACGTTAACAACAGTTAATTTACTGCAGCCTATGGACAATAAATGGAAAAATGTAAGTATTCCGCTTCTAACCTTAATGAGGTGTTATTACTGTTGTAAAATCTCATAAGGGACTCATTGCAGAACTTTTTATATATTTCATGTATTCTACATAATCATCTCGGGGAGATACAGTTATCCTTGAGAGATTTTAAAGGACTTTGTGATATTATTTGTGAATTTGCTGTTACTAATCTTGTGCCACTTGCAGGAATGCTGAGTGATCTATCAACTCTCATAACCGGAGTATATTGAGCATTCTTGCATTGCAATTTAGCAGCAAAGAGGAGATTAGCATGGGTATTCCTGACATTACTGGATGCCTATTTAAAACAAAAGTCAAATGTAACCCAATAGAACACAAACACTGCCAAAATTGTGCTCAAAAAATATGTGGACGCCAGATGTAATAGCCAATATGAATACCAAAAATTCCAGACAGGCCAGAAACAGATTATCTAGCAGACACCATTTGAATCATGAAATGATCCTGAAAATAACCTAAAATTAGACATGAAATCAATAGTATTTGTAGCTTACAAGAAGATTAAATATATTATATATATGAGATTTTTTTTAACCATTTGCTTTTCTGCTTTTATTTTTTCACAAAGTGCCCTAAACAGTTAAAATGTGAAGCTGAATAAATTACAGGGTAGCTGTTAAAGTAACACATTAGGGAACTTCTAATCAGCACATTTAGAATATATATTTAAAGTAATAGGTGGGAAGGTTCTTGCAAAAAGTTAGCTGTTGCGGAATATTAACAAAGCAGCAACAGTGCACTCAGAGGTACTTCAACAAAAGAGCACTTATGGCAGCCTTCTGTAAAACCTGAAATTTCTGAGCTATCTACAAAATCAGAAAGTATACAGAGCACAGGAAATCTTAAAAATTATGAATTTGCTGTTCCAAGAGAAGTAAGTTTGTTCACTTATTAATCAATTTATGTGCTCACAATTTCATTCCAGCTCATGGCACTGAACTGTTAGAACAGATATTTTTATTACACTACCAGAATAATAAGCACTAGTTGTTCTATTGGCAGAGAACTATGCATCTGGTTGCCCTGCTATTTATTTATATATTTTACCGGGTTTTTATACCACTCAGCTGAAAAGATTTAATGGCTTATACTTCGCATTACACCAAGTAGTACATATAATAAGAGTTTAAAAGAATATGGCAAAGCAAAGTAAAACCCAAGAAAACAATAAACCTCACCTCTATCACTTTTTAAAATGTTGGTTATGCATGCAGGCCATCACTGAGTTGATACTGATTTATAAGCATTACCTTTTTAGAGACACAATAATTTTTATTGTTAGTACCCTGTTTCTCCAACAATACGGCCTCCTCCAATAGGAAGTCCCAGCATGTTTTATAGGCATGAAATGAAATTAAGCCCCTCCCCCCAAATTAAGGCCTATATTAAAACATGTGAAATGGTGGGGAAATGGCGGGGGGGCTTGCTGTTAGGAAGTACTTTTGTTGCACACCCGGATATGGTGCTGCCTGCGTTGACCCTGATACAAAGTGCCCCACCAACGCCGAGGTCAACATCCAAGCTGTTGCCGCCCGCCCTAAGATGCAAGTGGGGGGAATTAAGTCACCCCCGAAAAGACGGCCTAGCCGTTTTTTCGGGGCTCAAAAAAAAATAAGACCCGGCCTTATTATATGAGAAACACGGTAATTGTTCAGCTTTAACAATATCCTCACAAACATTTATAACGGGGTGAGCCTAAAGTTACAGAGCACTAGAATTGTTACATTATATAAAATATTTTCTCACAGCAGAGCACTAATGCTATTATCAAGCCTCCTTCCATCATTTTAAAATTATTAGATTACATGGTTTATAACATGCCTTTACTGTACACATCTTTCTTGATTTTGTTATGCAATAAAGCTCCTCTAGTTAATGAACTGGCCTTTTTTTCTGGTAATTAATTCAGGATATATGCTTTTATTTATAATAAGTCTCTATGAAAATGTTCATATTTGTGAAACATATTTGAATTTAACATTGCAGATTGTAAGGTAAAATTAATTTTTGTCCAACTTTGAAATATTGCTCCTTGCTTGCTGTTGGATTATTAAACAGTATGGTTCAATTTCATTTTAAAATATCACTTTAATTCCCAATGTTCTATGTGATACCTGAAATGTGTTTGCAAATCACATCTGTATACTCACAAACGATTTATCCACAGACAGAAAATCCAATAACTCCAGCTGTAGGACATCAAGGTCAGCAATCAGTAACTGATGTCATTCAACAACTCCTTGAGTTGTCAGAGCCAGTGGAAAACAATCCATCCCAGCCATCTAGTCAGCAACTCAGTATGGCTGTGGGAATCAACAGAGATATTTTGCAGGTAGGATAACCTATTTGGAATCCTCACCTTGTTTTTTTAGAATATTGCAGTCTCCTTATTTGGCACAAAGGAATAATCAAAGCATCCCAGACTAATTTCTCTCTTGTGTGGATTCAGGAAATGCTTTGTCTGGAAATTCTCAATCATCCAGGTCATGGTTGTTCCATAAGTGCTTTTCCGAAAGGCAACTGGACTTTCTTGGTTTTTCTCAGTTCTGAAGAAGCTTCTTGGATGAGAACTGAAATGTTTTTGAGGAAGAAACCCAAAAAAGTTAAGTTGCTCTTTGAAAAAGCACCTCTGGGACTTCAGCAGTGGTGCTCGAAATTCAGGCTGTTCCTGGTGGTTGAAAACAGGACTATTTTCTGATTGTGATCATTTTGTGCTGAATGCCCACTGAATGCCTACAGGAGCATTATGCTCACCCAATTATTGCTATTTGAGTGCTGTCTCCTTACAGGAATGCTATTGGTGGTACTTCTTTCCGCTGGTTTCAGGTTTTCAAAATACCCGGGAAACTCCAGTTTTCAGTGTTAATAGAACTGTAAAACATAGAAAAAAAATAAATTAACTTTAAAAAGATGATGCTATGTGGCAAAATGCTGTTTAAAATGAGCAATGGAATATGAATGAGCTGGTCATTATTCTAAGTTGTTGAAAGAAACCTTTTAGCAAATTTCTAGTTTCTCGGTTGAAAGTATTAGAAGTTATGCTTTCCCTTTTTTGCCAATTTGGTTGTTACTTTTGGAATCTAAGTAGAGCTTTACATTTTTATCTTTTTACCTGGGGAATAGAGAAAACAAAGCTGTGAAGTGTTCAAATGGAGCTGGAATCTGAAAGGGTAAAATAAATCAGATATCTCTGAAAAACAAACCAGTTTAAATATTCTTGTCTATTTGAAAGTTCCACTTGAATCTTGCTTTCAGTTTAATTCATTATGTTTGTCTTAGCAAGCCTTGGAAAATAGTGGGCTATCCTCAATACCAGTTTCAGCAAACACTGACTGCAGTGAAACGAAGACTCCTCCAAGTCCAGAAGAAGCTGCAGATGCTCAGAATCTCTCCGGTCCTCAAGTCAACTCCAACAATACGGAACAAGTTAAAGAGCGAGACAACCCAGAGAAAGTAGACAAAAAAGAAAAAAGGGTTCTGAAGAAAAAATCCCCATTTTTACCTGGTAATGGCAAAAGGTTAATTCTGTCCACTACAGTATACATAAGCATTATTTACTAGTATGTATGTATGTATGTATGTATGTATGTATGTATGTATGTATATATGTATAATCTGTATAGAATGCATGGTGTTTCTAGGCAAAGTATGAAATGGCTGTATTATTTAAATATATGTATAATACCTAGGCATTATGCAAAATGACAAGAACTATTTAGGCAAAGCATGAAAAGAGAGTCATGAAAAGGGTTAGGGTCAGAGTTAGGTTAGGGTTATTGACCTATTTGTTCCAACAATAAAGGCTAGAAAGGCTAGTATTTTATACTTTGCCAGTTTACCTTTTGGCATGGCATAGAATTCATAGGAAATGTGTGAAATATTAATCATTTCATACTTTGACATCTCATTTGTTGGCATTCTATAAATGCCAAATTTCACACATTTCCAGCAACATACACTATAAGCATTATTTAGTAATATATAGTGTAGCATTATCACTGCTGGTTGCCTTTTTGTAGAGTAGTACAAACTGAGTATATCCTTTCTGTTCACTATTTGACAGGTTTCTAAAGTTAAAAAAGTCTCTATAGATATTGCATTGTGTAACTATTTTCTATTTAGAGCTAGCATATCTAGTAAATTGTAGGATTCAGGCATATTGTACTGTACTGTAAAGGGCCATTCTTAGTCAAACAGGTGGAAAAAGATGAGAAAAATAAGGAGAAAGCTCTCTCCTCCGCCCCAGATTCTACTCCAGACTTATGCATACTAAGAGAAAGGGCACTCTCCTCTAGATACAAAGAAAGCCCTTAAAATCTGCTTAATAATTTGGAGAATGTTGTCAAAGAATGTCTTCCCAGAAAGCGTCGTGAAAGTCTCTAGAGAGATCTGGAAAAATATAGTCCGGTAAGAAATTCAGGCACATCTTTACAGGAACTGCTGTCAGATCTCAGGTCAAACTCAACTTACAGAACCCTTTACTTTTATTAATTTATAGAGTAGTTATAACAATCTGTTTCACGGAAACATTATTCCTCAAATAGTGAGTAATTCAGTCTCCCAATTAATGTCACAGTTGCTTGATGACATTTGCCAAAATGTAACCTTATGCTTCATTTTGAATTCCAGTCTTTTTTTTCCTTTCACAATTAGAATGTCAACCTTTTCAAATTGTTTATATTTCAGGTTCCATACGTGAGGAGAACGGAATACGATGGCATATTTGCCCGTACTGCTCTAAGGAATTTAAAAAACCCAGTGATCTTGTACGGCATATACGCATTCACACTCATGAAAAGCCATTCAAATGTCCACAGTGTTTCCGGGCCTTTGCTGTGAAGAGTACTCTCACAGCACATATAAAAACGCACACGGGCATTAAGGCTTTTAAGTGTCAGTACTGTATGAAGTGCTTTTCTACCTCAGGAAGTTTGAAAGTACATATTCGCTTGCATACAGGTAAAATCTAATGTTTTGAAGCCCTGCTTATGTTTAATCTTAGCAAAAAAAAAAAAAAAAGTTTTCCTGTGTCATAACCCTATTTGCTTGTCAGCTGTGCTCAGATCAAATATAGCAAAGCAGGACCAACAATATCATGTTTTCATTGTAAAATATAACTGTTTATGTATTTAAATGTAATATATGTCAGTCCAGAAAGAAAAGACCAATAGAACTATAAATTATGTATGATTGAGTTTCTGTGGGTTCATATTACAGTGTTTGTGTAGACACGTGGTGGGGACTTTGGATCTAATTTGGCTATTGTGGAGCCTTAAGCAACTCTTACTCAAAATGTCTATGGAGATTCTCAGTCATCCAGGTTTTGGTTGTCCCAAAGAAGTTTTTCCAAAAGGCAGCTGGACTTTTTTGGAAGAAAGTCTGGTTGCCTTTTGGAAAAGTACCTTTGGAGCCCTATCCTTATCTCGTACAGCAGGCATCTTAGTTAAGGTGCTGGGCAAACTCTGTTTTTTAAGCCTTTGGGGAAGGCATGGACCATTCAGGATTGTTGGAGTACTTTCTGTGCTCAGAGAAAATATTTTGAGCAGAGTTGTCTTGCATGTCTTCAGCTTACTTATACAGCCATTCTTTGTGTGCTCTGCATGTTGCACATTGGGGCAAGGAGTGGATGGGTGAAGCTTGCATGTGCTGTATTGTGTGGAAAATGTTTGTTCTCTCTCGTGATCCTACAGGGCAATCTATGTCCATGCTGGGGAAAGCAGGCTTTGTCTTATAATTTTATTTTTAAATAGAAATGTTTTAAGTCAAAGCGTTTGAATTAATTAAGCATATTTGATTGTTTACCTTATCATCTTTTTATCTATTTATTTTTGGGAGTTGGAAATAAAGACATAATCTGTTTGTCTTTTGTAGGTATTAGACCCTTTGCTTGTCCACACTGTGACAAAAAGTTTCGAACTTCAGGTCACAGAAAGAC